TGGGTTTGAAGGTTTTCAACCGTGGGTCTGAAAAAGCATGTTTCATGAAAACCCAAACAGAGGGATTTCCCTGGCGGTCCAGTGGTTAAGACTCTGCCCTTCCACTGCAGGGGTTGAGGGTTCAATCCCTGGCGGGGGAGCTAAGATGCCACATGCCGCGCGCGCCGGGTGGCCAGAAAAAAAAGAAACCCAAACCGAGGCCAGGCACAGAGGAGCCCGGCATCCAAACAAACGGGCCTCCACCTCCCTGTGCCACTGGGTGGCGCTGCCACCGAGACTTGGTACCCGGGCACATCCTCCGACACCCCCGAGAGGGCGGGGTGGGGCTGGGGCTGCCGGGCGTCAGAGATGCTTCCCGGGCTGGCACCTCCTTGTGCGTGGTTGATGCCAACTGTGGCTTCTCTCTCTTCTCTCCCTGTTTCCTTCTCTCTCCTCCATTGCTGTCCGCAGTACTCGGTATGGGAGCCCCAAAAGACAGCTCCAGTTTTACAGGTAACGAGCCCTCCCTTTTCCCTACCTCCCTTTCCCCTACAACCGGCAAGCAGGGCAGCGGGTGGGAGAGCCGTGCCGCGTCCAGGCCGTGTGCTGGTGATTTCTCGGGCATGAACACTCCCCCATAAGATCCAGGCTCTGGTTCTCTTCTCGGTGCCACGACACGGCATAGTGATGAAAGACATGAAGTCGAGCTCGTTGTGTGGGCTCATCATCTAGAATTTGCTTTGATTTGAGCTGAGCTCTCGCCAGATCGCCTTTCAAACCTCACCCCTCAGACAGCGGATCGAGTGCTTTCCTGTCCTCCCAGCTTTGTGCTTCTTAGGTGATCAGAGTGAGAAACGATGCACCCGGCCCAGTGTTCTCCGCTTTTCCCTGAACTTGAGCTGATCTGTAGCCTATGGAGCCCTCTGGGGTGTGCGACTGCGATAGGACCCAGGCCAGGGTCGGGACGTATGCACTGGCGTATTTCTGATGCATTTCCTGTTGGAAATCAGCACAATGCGTCCACTGGGGGAGAGTCTGTCACCAGAGGGACACGGCGCCCAGAGGTCCAGCCCGAGGCACGTCCATCAGCAAAAGCCCCCAGGAGGGTCCATTCCTCCCTCTGTGCAGCCTCTTCCTAACCTGTAGGGGTAGGGCGTGCACCACAGACATGCATGCTCTTGAAAATCTCTAACTCTGGGAATTTACTTTGACGTTTTCCTCCATCGAGAACACGCCAGGCTTACGGAACGCTCAGGGCAGCTCCGCCAGCTTTGGGGCTGGACACTCGGAATGGCTCGTGGGGGCAGGGCCCTGGTGTCTGTTGTGCGTCTCGGCCTCCAGGCCTGGGAGGTCTCTCCATCCAGAACTGGGTCCTCGGTATGTGCACCCGCAGCGGTGACAGAGCTGTGGGGCCGTTATCGCCGATGCACCAGGGACCTCGCTCAGGCAGTGGGTGCTGGGGTTGGCGCTGGACTTCCATGTGGCTTTTTCCTTCCCACAGCCTTGGCACCTCCGAACGTGACCGTGGGCCTGGGTCCTCAGGCTAATTTTGCTATTCCTTCAGTGCCTCCCATGAGGTCTCACCCCTTACCGAGAGCTCTGAAGGGACGAGCGAATCTTTGATTCTACTGGAATGTTTGCTAGATAAGGTCTTGCTTGAAATAGTTAGGTCTGAGCTTGCAAATGCTTATTGAATGAAGTGTTTATCATCACATACGTATGTATGTGTGTATGTATGTATATATGTGTATGTGTGTGTGTGTGTGTGTGTGTGTGTATATATGTATGACATAATATGCCAGAATGAATGTGTGCCATCCGTCCACAAGGATTCAAACTGAATCCTTGAAACCAAACATGCACTTGAGCCGCATCCTCAGAGGTCCTGGGCCTGCCTCACTTCTGGAAGGAAAGGAGTGAGCTGAGACATGCAGGCAGAAAAATCCCCGAAACAGGTCAGCCGGCTGAAAGGGCTGGTCCCGTAAGAGGTGCCAAGTAAGTCGAGTCGAAGTGAAAGTGTGCTCCACGCCCCTTGCCGGCCCCCTGGACCCCGTGGATCCACCCTGTGGTCTACCCTCTGCGACCCCTCTGGCTGAGCGTCCGGTCGCCATGAGGTCTTCTTGCCCCGTGGACAGGCCCTGCTGGAGAACTGAATCTCCAGATCTGAAGACCACCCACCCCCAGCCTCTCAGCTCCACGTTCAATGCCACAGGCTCTGGCTGTCCTGCCCTTTGGAGCTCCAGCGTGGTTACTTCCCACAGTCACTCAGCATCTTTTGTGGGGCCTCTGGTGATGACCTCTAAGGGGGTGGGGTCTGTGTTCAGCAAACTGGGTGCCACTCCCAGCGGGGGGTTCTCGTCACCCAGGTACTGACACGGCTGTTGGATGGTTATGTAAGTCAGCCAGCAGGGTGGCACCCCCTCCTCCAACAGGGCAAAAGTGTCCAGGGCCCTGCCCTCAAGCAGCTCACAGACGGGTAATGGAGGGAAGACCCTGTACCTGTCAGCTTTTACACAGGAGGCCGCATAACAAACTACCCCAAGTCGCAGAGGCAGCAACAATAAGCATTGATTCCTTGCTCATATGTCTGTGGGTTGACTGGAGTCAGTTCGTCTAGGCTGGGCTTAGCTGGGTTGGTGTCTGAGCTGCAGGCTGGGCACCGGTGCTCACCATCTCTCCACCCTTCCTAACCAGGGGCCATCCCAGGCCTCTTCTCATGGCACGAGTGCCAGAGAAAACAGCAGAAACACAACTGTCTCTGAAGGCTGACGGTTAGAATTGGTACAGCCACTTCTGCGCATTCTTTTGGCCAAAGCATTCTCATGACCAAGCCCAATGTCAAGGGGAAAATATACTCCCCCCGACCCATGGGAGGAATCATGGTCACGTGACGCAGAGACGGGCCACGGCAGTGCAATCTACTCCAAACCCAAATCATTCAACAGTATCTAGGAGGCAAAGTGGGTCATGGGGGGCTTCCCTGATGGCGCAGTGGTTAAGAATCCGCCTGCCAATGCAGGGGACACGGGTTCAAGCTCTGGTCCAGGAAGATCCCACATGCCGCGGAGCAATGAAGCCCGTGCGCCACGACTACTGAGGCTGTGCTCTAGAGCCCACGAGCCGCAAATACTGAGCCCACGTGCCACAACTACTGAAGCCCACACGCCTAGAGCCCGTTCTCTGCGACAAGAGAAGCCACGACAATGAGAAGCCCGCACACCGCAACGAAGAGTAGCCCCCGCTCTCCGAAACTAGAGAAAGCCTGTGCGCAGCAACGGAGACCCAATACAGCCAAAAATAAAATAAATTAAAAAAAAAAAAATAGTGGGTCATGGGAGAGTCCAGAGAGTTGGTGGCGTTCCGAGGAGGGAGGGGTCACAGCCAGCTGAGAGTCAGGGAAGGCTTCATAGAGCCTTTGGGCTGGACCTTGAAGGCTGGACAGAATTCAACAGACACCAGGAAGAACATTCCAGTTGATGCGACAGCCTGAGCACAGCTCGGAGAGGCGCCCTGAGAACAGGAAGTGGCGGTCACACCATCTGGGCCATCAGGGACAGGACAGGATGGAGAGTAAACAGAGGCCAGACTGTAGAGGCAGCTGGGGCTCTGAGGAGAGAGGGCCAGGAATGACAAGCAGAGGAGCCTGGACTGCATTCAGTGGGCACTGGGGAGCCATCGAAAGTGTTAGAGCAGGGCAGGGGGCAGGGCTCTGCTGCAGGAAGGAAGCCGGGTAGCAGGAAGTGAGACAGGGGATGGAGAGGCTGGATGAGGAGGCAGGAGAGATGGAGAAGGGCTGAACCACAGGAGCCACAGGAACAGAGAGTGAAGGCTACCAGTAGCCACGCCCATGAGGCTTGGTGTCTGAGGTGCAGGCGCTGAGAGAGACAACGTGATGAGAGGGGAACAGTGCCCCAGGGGAAGGAGATGAGCCTCGTTCCGAGCATGTCAGGCTGATGACCGCCACCCAGCAATGAGGCCCACTACGGCCACTTCCAGCCAGTGGGTGGCACGTGACATGGAACCTGACAGTGGGCTTCAGCCTTTAAGAAAAACCATCCCAGGGAATTCCCTGGTGGTCCAGTGGTTAGGACTCTGTGCTTCCACTTCAGGAGGCGTAGGTTCGATCCCTGGTCGGGGAACTAAGACCCTGCAAGGTGTGTGGTGCAGCCAAAATAAATAATTTTTTTAAAAAAAGAAAAGAAAAACCATCCCAAGTCCATCACAAAGGCCTTTCCAGATCATCACCCACCGCCAGTTACCTCCGGTTCCATGCCCTCCCCCGGCCTCCCATTTCTTTCTACTCCGGATCTGGTGAAGTGATCCCCCCACCCCTTGTAGCCATCCCTGTTAGCAGGTTTGTCATGGGGTAATCAGCTCAGCCTCCATCCAGAATCCCACAGGCACCAGCACAATTTTTCAGCTAGAGGATAGTGTCATGCTGAGACTTTGAGGGGATCCTAGTGTGACACGAAGGGCCCCTGAGGTCATGAACCCGGAACGGGGGCTCAGCATAACATCACCCCAGGGCTCAGCCTCAAAGTGTTTTCCAAACCTCAGGTCAGGGCTGTGAGGAAGGGTCTCCATGCCCCCACCTGGAGAGAAAAGCAGTGTGGTGTCCAAATAGCAAACTGCAGGAAACTTCCAGCCATTTATAGGTCCTGGCAGTATAGGACGTACAATCTGGGGCATGTCCCTGTGGAAGGGAGGTGGGGCATCCGTCTGCATGTGCTGAGGGTGCATCTTGCCAGACCTCAACCCCCTCACTGTGGGCGGTGGTCACGTGCCGTGGGGCCCCGGGCTCCCCTGCTTGCAGACGGTTAAGAACAAGGTGGGACAGCAGCCGCAAGCCTGGGTCCCATCCTCAAATACCGGAAAGCACAGCCTGCGCCTCTCCACCTGCAGTTCCCAGGGTCAGGTCTCGAGGCAGGGGGTGTGCGCCCGAGGGGATGGCAGGACCCCAGCCGGTGCCCCCTCCCAGCCAGCACGCAGGAGGCTGCCTTGCCAGGCTGCACCGCGGAACCGCACTTCCCAGGCTTTTAGGG